AATGAGCCCTTCCATCACCTTGGAGCTTGCTTTGAATAAATGCTTTTGTCTTTTTACCAAAATTAATGGCCTCCTTTGATTGGACCAGCAGTGAGCAAACAAACCTAAGTGACTGGTAACATGGTCACTATTACACTATGATTAAATTTTTTTTTTTTTTTTGCAGTACTGGTGATTGAACCCATGCCCTTTGCACTAAGCTACATCCCAAGACTTTTTTTTTTGAGACAGGGTTTTGCTGAGTCCCTAAGTTGCCCAGGCTAGGGTCCAAATTTTGATCCTCCTGTCTCAGCCTCTCAGAGTGCTAGGATTACAAGCATGTGCCACTATGTCTTGCAGGCTGTGATAACTCTTTTATTATTATGTGTAGTATTTAGTGTGCAATTTGGCTTAAATCAATACCAAATATGGTCCAGTATTTCTAGTTTTAGCTTCATCCTCTCACCCCACTCTGACAGCAAAACATTGGTTTTCAGGTCTTCCTCTTGCTTCCCAGCTGCTGGACCACAAAGGCTGTGGGCAGAGGAAAAACTTTCATTTTTCTTGTTTAAGACACGGCCTCACTATGTCGTTCAGGCTGGCCTGAAACTTTTGGTGATCCTCCTGCCTCAGCCTCCAGAGTGTTGGAATTATAGGTGTGGGCCACCATGCCCAGCTACAGGTATACTTTTAAAGCATAAGTTTTCAGCCCTGGTGTTTATAAAAATAGTGAGAGTGTGAAAACATGTACAAGTCTGGTGGCCATCATTCTGAGATGGTGAGTGTTAGTGTATTAGTGTCCTTCCTTGCTGAAACGAAGGCCATACACTGGATGGCTTGGAACAACAGAAATGCACTCTAGTTCTGGAGGCCAGAAATCCCAAATCAGGGTGTCAGCAGGCCCTAGCCTTTGCAGGCTCAAGTGGAGGTCCTCCTCAGCCCTTGGCCTTCTCTGGCTTGTAGATGTGTTATTGGGTAGCTCCTTCTAAAAGTGCTCACCAAATAAAAGTTTCTGGGTTTTGGGTTGCTCACTCTCCTGAAATTAGATTCCAGGTTCTCCTCAGATGTACCCTTCTTTTTGCCACTTGGACTTCTTCCTGTGTACCTCTGTATCCAAATTTCCCTCTTCTTATAGGACACCAGTAATCGGATTGAGGGCCCACCCTAATCTGGTATAACCATCTTAGCTTCATTACAGGCACCAAGGACCTGACTTCCAACTAAAATCACATTCCCAGGTAAGGAGAGTTAGAATCGTAGTTAGGAGTCAGTATTTCTTTGGGGCAAATACAATTCAACACACAAGAAAAGCAGGCAGCCCCCAGCCAGCCTGGCACAAAGCACTCACCTGCAAACGGCCAGGAAGCCACGCATTCTCCGATGCCTGGGCTGCCAGACCTCCCTTCATGGGACTCCAGGGTCTTCACACACTGGGCGTCCTCTATTGTTTCTATCACTTCCCATTTTTAACCTTACATCAAGTCATCAATTACTTAATATCTAAAATTTGCTGGGTGTGGTGGTGCACACCTATAATCCCAGCACTCGGGAGGCTGCGGCAGGAGGATCACCACAAGTTTGAGGTCAGCCTGGGCTAGTGAAACCCTGTCTCAAAAGCAAACAAACAAATCAAAACAAAAAACATTTCTCACATTGTTTCACATCCAGTACTATCAGGGCCATGGGTGAAAGCAGCACACCCAAATTAGGGTCACCTCGGGACATTTATTTAGGAAGGGAGTAATTAATATGTGGTGGGTAAGATGTAGGGGTAATGAAAAAAACCAGGCAAGAAGCGAGGAGCCTTTACCACCCCAAGTCCAAAGGATGAGAGGAAGGAAAGATCCCTGGAACCTTTGCCACTGCCAGGCAGCCTGCCAAGGAAACTGGGATATGAGCACGCCTGCCACCCCAGCACTTGGAAAGCTGAGGCAGGAGGATCCTAGTGAGTTCAAGGCCAGCCTGAACTATATAGTGAGATCCTATCTAATAAAATAACAACAAAAATAAATGTGTTTCCAGAACAAATAGAGGGAAGGAGCAGGGGCAATGTCTGCCATCTCTGGGCTACACACCTCTGATAACTTGGCATGAGTCAGCAGGTGACTCCTCCTATCTGACAGCCAGAGTGTGGTGGTTCTACTGCTTCTCTACAGACCAAGCAGGTTATAAATCCCGTCTGCACAATGTGAAGGGTGGTTGAAGTAACCTCATGGAAAGACCTTCTTAAACAGAACAGTGATGAAGGTGCTATCTCTGTCCCCAGCTTTCTAGGTCCCAGGCTGCCTGTGGCACCTGAACAGCCACCTCTGGTTCCCCCACATTTCAGGGTGATGATGAGGGGCAGACTAGGCCAAGCATGAGGCACTGACAGTCTTTACTGGACTCGGAGTGGTAGTCTGTGAGTCTTGAGGAACTTGGTAATTTCCTTCTCCACATTCTTTTCTGCCTGTTTCTGTAGCCTTGTATTGTTTTTTCTTCTGGTAATGGATTTTGGCCTTCTTCTTCTTCTCCTTCAGAGTGGCTGTCACTTCCTAGTACTTCAGCTGACTTCATGAGCCACGCGTCCCTAGACAGGCAAACTTGGCTTCATATGCACAAGCTTGAAGGCAACAGGAACCACCATCCCTTTTTTCTCGTCATAGGGTGGCAGGATCTCATCAAACATCTTGAGGTGGTCCAGGGTGGCCTGGTTTGGACCTGTGAGGCAGCATACCTGGCATGATCTGCCAGAAGATACGCTGGGGGCCCAGAAGTGGTAGGGCCTTCAGGATGGGTTGATGTTCATCCACTTGAAAAAAGTCAGGTACTTTTAATGTGTCTTAGTAGAAACTGCCAGAAATGATGATGCACTGGAAGTGCAAAACCAGCACCTTCTGGCTCAGCAGTCCACTACTTGGTCATAATGGCCTCAGCCATCCAGCATCAGGATCTGTCCCTCTACCATCTTTGGCAGCTGCCTTGGGGAGAGAGGTGGGCTGCTCCCAGTATAATGTTGTATTATACTTTCTAATCTTGCAGAAATTTTTAAAAAAGTGGCCAAGATTGGCAAGATGCCATCAATGCCATTTCCCTTCCCTAGGCACCCTTGCAGCTTAGACTGGGGTCACAAAATGAGCTTCTGGCCAATGGAAGTGGGCAGAGCTGGAAGCGTGGTGCTTTCTAGGCCTGTGAAGTGGCCATGGTTTAGAGCCACTGATCCAAGTTGTCTTTACCAACATGTGTCTGTGCACTAACAGTGCTCACTGTGACAGAGAGGTACAGGCACTGCCTGATCTTAAAGTATGGGACAGTCTAACGTACCACAGGTGGATTCCTATTTTAAGATGCCAGCTTTTGGCCCGGGCCTTCAGCCTGGCCAAGAACAGCCAGCCCAACCGCTACACCAACTGTGTGGTGACGCTCCGGTACCAGCCCCGGGAGCTGCTGCTCGGGGAGCGGGACTACAGTCCACCCATTGACCCGTGGGGCGCAGGGTGCATCATGGCTGAGATGTGGACCCGCAGCCCCATCATGCAGGGCAACACGGGGCGGCACCAGCTCGCCCTCATCAGCCAGCTCTGTGGCTCCATCACCCCCGAGGTGTGGCCAAATGTGGACAAGTACGAGCTATTTGAGAAGCTGGACCTGGTCAAGGGCCAGAAGCGGAAGGCGAAAGACAGGCTGAAGGCCTATGTGCATGACCTGTATGCCCTGGACCTCACTGACAAGCTGCTGGTCCTGGACCCCGCACAGCGCATCAACAGCGACGACGCCAACCACGACTTCTTCTGGTCCGACTCCATGCCCTTGGACCTCAAGGGCATGTTGTCCACCCACCTGACGTCCATGTTCGAGTACCTGGCTCCACCACACTGGAAGGGCAGCCAGATCACCCAGCAGACTACCAACCAGAGCCGCAACCCAGCCACCACCAACCAGACGGAGTTCGAGTGCGTCTTCTGACGGCTGGGCCTCCCGCCCTTAGTGCCATTCTTTTACTTGTGCTATGTGACTTGCACTGTGTAGACTGTAGGGCATTTCAGTTCTTTACCACGTTTTATTTAATCCCTGCCAGGGCACCAAAAGCAACTGGCCGAGCAGACTGAAGCGGTGCCATGGCTGAAAGCCAGGGGGGCACAGGGGTCCTGTGCCCCATTGCTGGGTCTCCGGTCACCTTAGGACAGGAAGTGAGGCCGGAGAGGTTCGCCGAGCAGTGACTTCCTCAGAGCTGTGGTGTGACAGGAGGAGGGGACGGGCCCCTCGCTGTTCCCAGCTGTCCTTGCGATGATGAAAGACGTGAGGGGAGCAGAGCTGGCCTCGGGGACCTTCTGCCCTTGGCCTGGGCCTCGGGAGCACCAGGACCAACGAGAAGCCTTGGTTTCTTCAGTAGGAGAATTTTATCATGTTTTTGCCTCCATCGTTCAAAGACATTCCTGGTGAAGTTTGGTCAGTTATAATTAAAAGTTGACTCTTTCCTTTTCCCCCCTCCCCCTCCCCCTCCTTCTTCAAAAAGATGCCAGCTTTGTTGCAGCATTGTTTATAGTTGTTAAATGGGAAACAAGAAATGTGTGATGACACAGTACTAAATAATGAAAAAAACAATGGAGTGCTATTGTTATGGTTTAGACCTAAAATGTTCCCCCAAAAGCTTCTGTGTTCAGAGGATGGTGACCAGATCAGGAAGCCTCTAATTTTATCAAATGGATGAACCCACTGATGAAATCACAATCTGATGACACTGTCAGAAGGTGATGGAAACAGAAGGTAGGGCCTACTGGAAAGGAGTGCTCCTGGGGGTGTAACTTTGGCAATTATCTGCTCATAGGCTCTTTTCCCCCTGGCTCTTCTCCCTGCTCCCTGGCTGCCACGAGGTGAGGCAGCTTTCCCTTGCCATGTGCTTCTGCCATATTTCTGCCTTACCACAGGCCTGATAGCCAGCTGACCGTGGACTGGAACCTCAGAAACCTTAAAAGAAAACAAACCTTTTCTCCTTTGTCAGGTAGTTTGTCACAGCAATGAGAAATGAACACAATTAGGTATTCATTAAAGGATGTAGATCTATTATTTACTGACATGAAAGACATTCTTGAATTTTTTTTTTTTGGGAAGGGGCATTAGAAGTGTGTCCAGGGTATGGTTTTTCTTGTTAAAGGAAAAATATATTTATATGGGACAATATCTGGAAGGATCTCAGTAAGGATTTGGGATAATTTACTGTTTTACTTGTGCTTCCCAGTTTTTCCATGCTAGCTGACTAGTTAAATGACCACTGGGGTCACTGAGAAAACTGTCTTGTGTCTCTGAGTATTCTGTCCCTTTCATGAGAAGGATGTGTTTGTTGTAGCCTATAAAAACAGACTAAAGATTTACTGAACATGGATAACATCTAACTCTGAGGGGTGTGTGGGTTAACTGAACAAAACACAAAGCCAAGATCGAGACTACTGTATACAATACAGAAATGGATTTTTAAAAAGTCATTTGGTAATACTTATCTAAATAACTGCCTTGGGTTTCCCTCAGAGGTACAAAGGGGGTGATATATTCCCAATTCTACTTTTCTCATTCTACATTTTCATTTTTTCTAAGCTCAGTATAATTTTCCAATACAAAATGGGAACCGTGTTACCACATTTACAAAATCAGGATCAGCACTCAGGGTGTTCATTCTCTGGAAGTCACAACATGATCATGCTTTGAATTTACTTGGGAAAACTCTATAAAATATCAACACTCAGAGCATCATATTTGGGGTACTACATGCCTCACAGTCAAAGAAGAGAGACAAAACTCCTTGTTCAATGAAATATTACCTTAACTGGGTCATCTTCTAAGTGTCACAAAAATCAGCGATAAAAGAATTATCTATTTATCAATGAATAAAACAGCAATCTCAACGTGGCATTTTCCCTGCAATTTTGTAATGGACATTTTATATTACAGAAATGAACTTAAAATAATTTTCTTCTGAGTTTCACTGCTCATCTTTAAAAGTTGAACCACCATTCTTCATGACTTCAGGACATTTCTTAGACTTCCTTAGAACGTCTACTATCCAAATGAAGTTGATTTCAGGTAAAATTTGGCTTAGACACCGAACCATTTTTTGTGTGATTTCTGCCTCATAGCTTGAATGGATTTTAATTGTGCAGGTTTCTTAGGTCCTCGACTTGCTTTACTACCAGAACTTGAAGTAAGGTAAACTGGTCCTGCTGAATTTTACTGATTATATTCTTCACTTAGAAAATAAGACACCAGGTTGAGGTCAAGCGTTTTAACAAAATAACCTGTTCAGTCTGCGTTTAAGTAGGCAGCAAACAGATACTAAAGTTCCACACAGGCCAACGAAGACAGTTGTGTATTTGGAAATACAATTTATCACGCTGGCGTTTTCAGTATATTCTTGGGCATTCAAAGATTTCCTGACTACAGAGCAATGTCACAAAAACAAAAAACGGATGACAAATTCTTGGTTATTCATTCAGGCCAGCAGTCAATGTTTCTATCATTTGTAAAAGAAATTTGCTAGGCTTAGAAAAGGGTTTCAGGCGGCTCCAATGTAAAAAGCCACCAGGCATGGTGGCGCATGCTTGTAATCCCAGCAGTTGGGAGGCCGAGGAAGGAAGATGGAGGCAAGTTCAAAGCCAGTCTGAACCGAATAGGGAGACCCTGCCTCAAAAAAAAAAAAGAAAAAAAGTAAAAAACAGCAATCAGGAGATATGATAAACACTAAGTGTGTACCACTTACTTTGCTCTGGCAAAATCACTCACACCCGTACAAATCAAAAGATAACCAAAGTGGCCAAGGAACCGGCCGACGACGTTCACCTCCAGGGCCGCTTTTCACCACGAACTCCAGTAACAGGACACAGGCCAGCTTGAGCCTCCAACGTGACGGAGCTATCGCATCGCGGTGTCACGGAGGACTGCAAAGGCGTCGTCTTCGCTTTGACCGGCCGGCTAACATTTGCATCAAAGGCTTCTGGACCCTGTCCCGACCCCCGCAGCCCAGCGACACCGGGGAGCGCCCCGTCTGCGCTGCCTTCCCCCTCGGCCGCGGTCGTCAGGTGTCTCGGCGAGTGGACGCACACCCGTGGCCCAAAGCCGTGGTTGGGCAGGCCCAGGAGGCGCTCCTCGCTCGGCGGCAGGACGTCGCGACACTCGCTCCACCAAGTCGCCGTAGCCGTCGCCCCGGCCAAGAGTCCACCCCCTCTGCGCGCCTGCGCAGACCGAGGCCGCGTGGGGTGACGGTAGGGGCCGTCCGCCCCCGCCCCCGGACGAGCTCAGTGCGGCCCGCGGGGGGAGCCGGATTCCCCCGTGCCCGCGGCAGGCTCATAGGAGGGAAATGGCATCCGGCTGTACGTCTGCGGAGCGGGTGCGCTGGTGTCTGTGTCCTTTGGGGCCGCAGGCTGTAGGAGAGGCTCTTCTTGGCGCCAGCGTCTGGATTGCTCCCGGGAGCTCCTCCCCCCAGCGGCCTGTACGATGGTGCGGCCCGTAGGGCGCGCGCGGCTCCCGCGCTTCGGGTGCTCGGTGCGGGCGGGGGCGCGGGCGGGGAGCGGGCCCGATCGGAGGCCGGGCCGGGCCGGGCCGCATAGGCTGGTCGGGTTGGCGGGGACGGGGGCGGGGGGCGCCTAGCACGGCGGCGGGGCCGGGCGGGGGCGGGGCCGGGGCGGGGCTCCGCGCAGCCTCCGCACCGCCGCGAACATGTCGGACCCGGTGCCCGAAGTTCCCGAGGAGATGTTCCGCGAGGTCAAGTACTACGCCGTGGGCGACATCGACCCGCAGGTACCGCCAGCCCGGCTCGGCGCCTAGAGTCCGCCCTCGCAGGCGCGCGCCGGGTCGCAGGACAGGACCGCCGGGTGGGCCGGCCCGCGGGGGGGGAGGGCGCGTGCGGCCGCGGGTCGGGTCCGCGTCCCCGTCCCTGCCGTGCTGTCCGGTCTCTGAAACGGGGACGCGCTCTGCCCGGCCCGCGCCGGGGTCTTGGCTCCAGCTTCCCGGGGCGAGGGAGGGCGCGGGGGCTCGCAGCCCCGGCGACAGCTCGCGCAGAGGCTCGGCGCGGGGACACGGGTTGCCCGAGGGTGGCGGCTGAGGACCTGCCCAGGCCGGCTGGGAGCGCTCGCGCCGCACGCAGCCCGGACCCTGGCCGAGGGGCCGGCCTTCCGAGTCCCGGGTTGTTCACATGAGGTGGAATATTCCCTGCAAACACTGTCACAGTGGGCGCTTCATTTTCCCATGCCACAGGACGGTGTGGGTTGTCCTGAGTAGTAATTCTGTTTAACCATCAGAGTGTAATAATCCGTGCTAGGAATGCACCTTAGTTTTCAGTCTGTGGTAGAAATGCTCCTCAGTTTGGCATCTTGAGGCTAGTTTTCAAAACTTCCTTTCTTAAAGGTGTCTTACCGGCAGGGCTTGGAGGAAGGAAATAAGCAGTGATCCTAGCTTACACGCAAGGAGTGGTGGACACAAACATTTCACAGATAGAACTGGGTGGTAGAGAAGGAATGGTGGAAGGCTTGTTGGTGTCTTCGTCACTAAACCCCAGAGTCTTGCTATGTAGTTCTTGCTGGCCTCAAACTCACTGTGTAACCCAGGCCGGCCTTGAGCTCACAGCGATTCTCCTGCCTCAGCTTCCTGAATGCTGGGATCACAGGAGTGCGTCACCAGGCCCGGCTTCTTAGGTCCTTTTCTACTGCAACTTCAGAGCCTAACAGCTTTGAGTTTAAAGACTTAAAAACAGGTGCTAAACCTTGAGTGATCAAAATGAGCACTTGAGACAGTGTGACTTTTTCCAGTGTTTGTCATTTCCATTTTTTACCCCTATCCACTATTGTCTTCCCTCTCTTTCCTGCTCTTCGTTTTAGGATTTTGGCTCTTGAAGGAGATTTGAACCCAGTGTTATTTGAAATGAGGAACAAGCTGAATCCCAGCCATATTTGCTTAACTATGTGTCCAGTCCAAGTATACTTAAAGCTGTCCTTGGCAAATGCTTTAATGTGAAATAGTGTCTTTTCTAAAAAGTTTAGAACCAGAGCATCTATTCTGTGGGTCTTGTAAATGTGGATTAAGAGAGTACCATACTGTGAGCATCTAGTGTAGGTCAGGCATTGGACCAGGTGTCAGAAGGAGGAAGGGGCCCCTCCATGGTAGGAGAAGGAGCACACCTGAGCAAGGAAGAATGCAGGTGGTAGATGCGGAACAGGAACATGCTTCTCCACTGGTATTCATAGAATTGAATTGTCACTAAGTTGGTGTCAGTTCAGTTTAGCCTTGAGATAAGCAGAAGAGAGATTGTCTTCACATGAAATGTACATGCCAGAACTTGACATTTGTGTATGTGGGATACATCAGGATTTTCACTGTATCTGGAGTGCATGGGTAAATCAGGCAGGAGAGACTGGGAGCCTGCGCTTGAGAAAAAGCTCTAGGACTAGAGCTAGGAAGTGAGAAGGTGAAGACAGAAAGCTGAGACTATTGTTTCAGGAGGTTGGCATGAAAAGGAAGCAGAGTAGGGTCCTGAGGAAGAGAAGAGGTCAGCTAGGGGCCTACAGCAAGCACGAGTGTGCTGTGTGATGGTGAGGTTGGTAGCGTGAGGCTGGTAGCGTGAATGTGTGAAGCCAGAGGTGCTTGGGATTAAGAGAAGGAAGCCAAGAAGGCCCCCTGCTTCGAATGGGGCTTGCATAGCACCTAAGGCAGTTTTAGTACTGATCTAGGTTCACCTGCCCGGTACCTGGACCACTGTGCTCTCCCTGTGTGTGTTTTTGCCTGGCTAACACCTGTGAATTCTTCAGCTTGAGGGTCTGAGGATTCCATTAAGGAGTCTCTCCTTTCCCTAATGATGATGAAAGGACTCATCCCCAAGCCCTAGGTGGCGGCCTAGGAGGAGTGACCCGCAGGGCCTGGTCTCAGCAGCAGCTGCTGCATCCTAGTTTGTCTTGTCTGTCTTGAAGACCTGTGATAGCTGGTAGCTGGCTCATAGTAGCCTCTGTTGCTTCACTAGTTAATCAAGATTTGCTGCTTTTTATTGTCCCCAAATGTTTCGTTGGCATATTCAGAGTAAAAGATTAATTCTACATAGAGTGTATGATGTACTTTTATTAAAATGTTCCATCACTTCCAGTGATTATTCACATAAATCAGAAATGGGATGCAGCATTTTTCATTTTAATTTGTGTGTTTTTTAAAGGTTATTCAGCTTCTTAAAGCTGGAAAAGCCAAAGAAGTATCCTACAATGCTCTCGCCTCACACATAATTTCGGAGGATGGGGACAACCCGGAAGTTGGAGAAGCTCGGGAAGTCTTTGACCTACCTGTTGTAAAGGTCCGTAGAAGATCTGATTCTTTTTGAAGCAAAACATTTTATCGGTACATTTTAGATATACATGTTAACTCTCATCATAGGGAATTTGTACCTGTACCTGATATATTTTGCTGCTTCTTTTTTTCTCATTCCCCTCCCCTCCCTTTGACCCCTCTTCTCCTTATTTACAAAAGTTTTGTTTCCATTTTTTTTCTTCTATTCTTTTTTTTCTTGTCCCATTTTTTCTCCCTCCCCCCTCCCTTGTTACCCTTCTCATTTGAACATTTTCTTCTTGTTTCCCAATATCTATTATACATTTTGGTCCTTACTTCCATTTTTGGTTTCTCACACCAGAGAATGTGATATTTAAATGTGTGTCCGAGTTTTCTCACTTAAGACTATGATCTCAAAGTGCATCCACTTAGCTAGAAATATCTCAAGCTCATCCTTCTTTATGGCAGAGCAGTACTCTAGTGTATAAAACACCCACATCTTTATCCATTCATCAGTTGATGGGCATTTGGGCTGTTTCCAAAATTTAGCTATTACAAACTTTGCCGCTGTAAACATGAGTGTGCATATATTTCTGTGGTATGATGCTTTTAATTCTTTCGGGAAGATACAAGAAGGGGAATAGCTGGGTCGAATGGAATCTCTAGTTTTAGTTTTTTGAGGACTCTCCACACTGATTTCCACAGTGACTGCACCAGTCTACACTCCCATCCACAGTGGAGAAGGGTTCCATTTTCCCTACAGCCCTGCCAGCGTTTGTTATTAGTTGATTTCTTGATAGCCAGTCTTTCTGGAGTGAGATGGAATTTCAGCATTGTTTTAATTTGTATCTCTCGAATGACCAGTGATATTGAACATTTTTTCGTGTATTTATTTGCTGTTTCTATTTCTTCATCTGAAAAGTGTCCATTTCAGATGCCCATTTTTGGAATGGGTCTTTAAATTTGCGGGGGGGGGCCTCTGATTTTTGTTGTTGTTTTTTATATATTCTAGATATTAGTGCTTTGAGGAACAGCTGACAAAAATTTTTTCCCACTCTGGGTTGTCTCTTCACTGTATTGGTGGTTTATCTTGTTGGGTAAAAGCTTTTTAATAAAGTTAGTTCCCAGTTGTTGATTCTTTGTGATATTTCCTGTGAAATTGGGGTTTTGTTCATAAAGTCTTTGCCTATACCAGTGTCTTCAAGTGTTCTATCTATTCTGTCTTCCAGCAGATTTAGGGTTTCTGTTTTAATATTTTGATCTTTGATCCATTTTGATTTTAGATTAGTGCATGGTGAAAGATATGGGCCTAGTTTTAATCTTGGCCATGTGGAAAACCAGTTTTTCCAGCACCATTTATTAAAGAGGCTATCTGTCTTCCAGTGGAAGTGTTTGGCTCCTTTGTTAAAGATAAAGTGGCTGAGTGTGTCTGGAGTTGCTTCTCCATCTTCTAATCTGTTCCATTGATTCTCGGGTCTGTCTTTTTTGCCAGTATCCTGCTGTTTTTATCACAGTAGCTTTTGGTATAATTTTAAGTCAGGGATCGTGATGTTCCCCGCCTTGCCTTTTGTGCCCAGAATTGCTTTTGCTCTTCTGGTTCCATATGAATTTTAGGATTATTTGCTCTAATTCTGTGGGATATACTATTGG